CCTTAGCCACTTGAGCCACAGGCACCGAGCCACGGTAGCAGATTTTTTGATAGCTAGGATGCCCCAAACTGCCCCAAATGTGGTCTTCGACTGTCTTTCTTTCCTTAAGTGATTTCTGGTTTTTTCTTTTTTACCATCTCTTTTCTTCCCTTTTCTTCCTATAATCATAAAACTTGTATGGAGTCTAATACTCTGGGCCTAGCAAACTTAAAGTCATTCCTGCAGTGTAGTTTTGATCTAAAAAATTAAAACACACTCTCTTGAGTGGTGGCAGTCCTACTCAGAGTTAAGTCAGGGCTAATAATGAGCAGCAGCTGTAGTCAATTAACTATCAATGCTCATATCCTTTTTTCTATAATGAAATAGTGTGGCTATTGGACAATAGCCCAGATCCTCTTTATTAAAATAGTATTGGTAGAAGTGGCTTTCATGAATGTGGTAATCTATCAGTTAAACAATGTTCCAAAGCAAATTGGATAACATTTTTCTTTCTTTCTTTTTTTTTTTTTTGAGACACTGTCTCACTTTGTCACTCTGAGTAGAGTACTGTGTAGTTATAGCTCTTCTCTTGCCTCAGCCTCCTGAGTAGCTGTGACTACAGGCGGCTGCCACAATGCCTGGCTGTTTTTTAGAGACAGGGTCTGGCTCTGGCTCAGGCTGGTCTCGAACCTGTGAGCTCAGGTAATCTACCCGCTTTGGCCTCCCAGAGTATTAGGATAAGATTTTTCTAGCAGTTTTATAATATGAAGCTAGATGAACTTGGGAGTTTATGTTTATGTCCTAAAGAAAAGTAATCAACACTTGAGGTCAAGTTAGCACTTGAGCTGTTTTTGCTTCATTGGCTGTGTACACTTCCTCTGAACACTTGCAAACTGTAGATTTTGGGGCCCTAATTTGAGAAACTGAAGTAGTTTAATCTCTTTCTACAAAAAAACTTAATGATAAAAGAGGTTTGGTTTGTTGTTTTCTAAAATGTGTGTTGTATTTGTTTTTAAAAGAGAGAGAAGCATATTACATGTGGTTAATAAAAATCTATACTGATTGTTGTGTTCTTGGTTTGTAATGAATACCCAACCTTTTTTTACTTTGCCATGCGTTTTATAATGATAGGCCCTCTGAATTTTTTGATGGAGAGAAAATAAATTAACCTTTTAAACGTCAGTTAAAACTTTAAAGTCTTGTGGTTAGTTAATTTCTAATAATAAATATCCTGAAAAAGTTAATAAACTTTCAAGGGTCAATATTTTACTTTATAAAAATTCCTGGTAAGTTCTAGATATAACTGGCAGGTTTCCATTCCTGTAGGTTGAAATATTTGACCATGGAACTATTGGCTTGTCCTAAATTCATTAGGGTAATCGATAATAATCAAAGATGAAAGGCATTGTAGTCTGTTTGGTAATTGATGCTAATCACGTTAGTACTTTTAGCCATTTCTTATGCTCATCTCACTGTTACTGAGGGCAGGAAAAGGGTGGTTCAGTGCAAGTGACTGTTAATGGATTTGATTGGACTTGATTGCCCCTTGATTTCAATTCGGCATGAAAACCTCCCTATTCTTCTAATAGAGGGAGAATGGCAGAAATTAAAGGGCATAGTAATGCCAGATAGATGTTAGCCAGCAGAACATATTAGCTTTAGGTGACAAAGTATGATTCATCAGTGTGGCAGTTTAGAGAAGAAAACACTGTAACCTGAAAAAACTTACATATGTATTTGTGTTTATATGAATATGAGTTTGTTTTTAATATTTTAGACAGCTTTTGACTGGTTGTTGTTTTTTAATCCCTGCTAAGTGCGTATTGATGATGACTCTTTTTTTATTCCCCTGGGAGGATAGAAAGAAGCTGGTGCATTTAATCCTTTTAGAAAGGAATACTGTCTTGGAAAGGATCTGAGCAGAGTCCTCTTCTCCCTGGGGAACTTGAGGGGTACCTGTTACAGGCCATGCTCTTGGTGAGAAGCACAGCTTGGAAATTCTGCAGGAAGTGTCAGAGTCTGTTGTAGCTCTGTCTTGTAGTCTGATCCTTTCCAACCTATTGAGGGCAGGGGCAGTGACAGACTATAGCTAGAGGCAGAGAGGGTTTCAGAGTGGACAGAAGCATTTTATCACATTAGCATGGAGGGTTTAAGTTAGGCCTTGACCATAATCTTGTTTTCCTCTTAGAACTACGCATACAAATTATCTTTTAGTTATTTAGAAAATGATTTTTAACATTTCAAGCACTGTATGAAATGTTACTTATTTTTACTTATTTATAAAAATTATTTTAAGTATAAGAATCTTGTATTCAACTGTAACAGGAAAATAAAAATTTAAGATCCCCCAACTAAGAAATAGTCTCTTTTAGCATTTTTTTTTTTTTTT